TTATCCTCCAATCACAGGTCGGAGCAATTCCTTTGTTTAGACGCATGTCTTTGTCTCTGTCATTTCATATTGGAATTCTCTCCCTTCCTATTTAGCTAGTTGCAATTTTGAGGCTTTTTCTACTGCGATCTGCAGTGTTGATCCATCTCCAGCATAACTGTACCACTGGTGTGTTTGTAGCCATGGCCCCATCTTTGTAGCATACCTTGTTACGTCCGAGGCAGTGACATGCAGTGTTGCAGTGCGTCAATGATGATATTTATTTCAACATCTTTTCCCCAGCAGGAGAGCGTAAGCAAGAGGCTCGAAATCCCACAAAGCGATCTGTCTGATGGAGCCTTCTCGTTCAGATATGCCACGTCCAGGAGGAGAGAATTCCCACCTGTGTGATGTGTGTGGATACGCCAGCTCCAAGCTAGATCGTTTTAAGAATCACATGTTCACTCACACGGGAGAGAAGCCATTTGCGTGTGACACTTGTGAATACAAGTTTAGAAACCGCAGTGATCTCAAGAGACACATGCGTATACACACTGGAGAAAAGCCGTATGCGTGCGACACGTGTGCGTACATGTGTAGGACGCCTGGTAGACTCAAGCTACACATGCGCACTCACACGGGAGAAAAGCCGTATGCGTGCGATATATGTGAACACAGATATACGACCCTCGGTAGTCTCAAGGTGCACATGCACAATCACACGGGAGAGAAGCCATTTGCATGTGACACTTGTGAATACATGTGTAGGCTTTCCACTGAGCTCAAGAAACACATGCGCACTCACACAGGAGAAAAGCCGTATGTGTGCAATATATGTGATCACAGATATACTACCCTCGGTAATCTCAAGGGACACATACGCACTCACACGGGAGAGAAGCCATTTGCGTGCAACACTTGTGAATACAAGTTTAGGAACTGCGGTAATCTCAAGAGACACATGCGTATACACACTGGAGAAAAGCCGTATGCGTGCGACACGTGTGCGTACATGTGTAGGACGCCTGGTAGACTCAAGCTACACATGCGCACTCACACGGGAGAAAAGCCGTATGCGTGCGATATATGTGAACACAGATATACGACCCTCGGTAGTCTCAAGGTGCACATGCACACTCACAGGGGAGAGAAGCCATTTGCATGTGACACTTGTGAATACATGTGTATGACGTCTGGTAGACTCAAGAAACACATGCGCACTCACTCAGGAGAAAAGCTGTATGTGTGCGATATATGTGATCACAGAAATACTACCCTCGGTAACCTCAAGGACCACATGCGCACTCACACGGGAGAAAAGCCATATGTGTGCGATATATGTGATCACAGATATGCTACCCTTCGTATTCTCAAAGTACACATGCGCACTCACACAGGAGAGAAACCATTTGCGTGTGAAAGATGTGAATATAAGTGTTCTACGTTCGGTATGCTTAAGCCACACATGCGCACTCACACGGGAGAGAGGCCGTATGCGTGCGACAAGTGTGGATGCAAGTTTGCTACCCGCAGTTCACTGACTAGACACCGGCGCACTCACTCAAAACCGAGCGAGTGATACACGCATCTATGCAGGGCGAATACAGAAACTAGGACTTACATCAAATCGTATAGCATGACAGTATCACATCGTCTAAAACAATCCTGCTGCCTGCCGCGATATCGCGCTATCGCGATATCGCTCCGTCCTTCATAGCTTATAGTAGAGTATTGTGAAGTATATAAATGACATTACTGATCTCTGTATACTATCTGGATAGCGGCTGGCCAATCCACTGTCGGTGAGATTAGAGAGCCTAGAATATATTCAGATATCATTACAAGAACGCCTGTGGCGTGATACGTCACGTGTCATGTATTGGTGTAATGTTGCATGTATAGGTTATGTAATGTTTTTTTTGGGGAAATTTTTTCAAAATTGTCATTTCTTTCAGTACATCTATTGTCATAAATACAAACGTCACATGTTGGTATGTACCTATAGATTGTGTGTTTTATGTGAGCACATGTGGTGGTGGGGGGGGGGGCTGCACGTGTGAGTGCGCGCGCACTTGTGTGCATGTGTGTGTGTGCGCGCACGTGTGTGTATGTGTGTGTGCGCGCGCAAAATCTCTAACAACCTCGTGATGAACTGCGAAAGGATATCCGATTACCCCGCGACCGGAAAGGTTACTGCATATACATGCAGAATCTAGACTGGCGTGAAGTTCTCTGCGCAGAACTGTCCGTCACATGCGAGTGCGCAGCGGTCCGGCACGTCGAGTACGTGGATCCAGTCTATCTCAGCGATTTTCCGCTGATAGACAATAGGATTAAGGTGAGAGTAGGACCCCCAGGGGGGAGCACTCCCTACAAAATAGGGTAGGTATGTGCCACTTGAGAGATGGAATAGGGGGTTCTCCGGTATTAACTCAGCACATCAAAATGCGGGTCTCCGGAACTAGGGTTTGCTGGAAAGCATGATGCTCTGGAACTGGACATGTTTGCGAGAGGGGGGTCTCCGGAACGTGCGGAAAAAAGTAGGACCTATGCTCCGGGACGGGAAATGTGTGAATATGGGTTTCTCATTAGTTCTGTTATTAAAATTTTCGCTTCTATATATACAAAGACGCGTTCTATATATATTACAGGCGCGCCGGAAGCAGTTTTGGATTGGGGGGGGGGCAAAGGCCTAAGGGGGCTCACGATTTTTTTTTATCGTGTGTGCGTGAGCGCGTGAACGCGTGTGTACGTGAGTCGCTGTCCGTTGTCGTCCGTCGTACGTCCGTCTGTCAACGTTTCGCTACGGTCAATGATAACTCCGGAACCGTTTGGCCCACATGTTTGAAATTGGGTATAGTTGTTACTGCTATGCTCCCATATTAAACGTCCTATTTTGAAGCACGCCAGTCAACGTACTTTCGAGCCACGACAATTTTTTTGCAAAAATGGGAATTGCCATTAGTCAGTTCAGGTTCAACGGATTTTGATCGTTTTTGGTATGTGAATGAATAAGGGCTAGGGGTGTTGATATTAAAAAAAAAATTATGCAAATTAGGTAGGGTTTGGCTATTATATAGCATATTATATAGACACAAACAGTCTGTGGTGTCACACTCGTCTGGTTCGTTTTACAAGATTTCATTGACAATATCTTTAATGCAAAATTGGTATTTCTTCTCCACCCTGCCGATAAAACGTCTATATTAGAGTAAAGTCTCTTTATCTCTGGACTCCTAATATACTTGCCTAGCCAGTCTTAATTCCTCTTCGTTTACTTGTTCCCCTTCGAATTCTAGTTTTCGTATTTTTCTGTACCTTCTGTTGGCCTCCTGTCACTCTTGTCTCGCGTTTTTACAGCTTTGGTCAAACCAAGTTCTATCCTTCCTCACCCCTGCTTTGCCTGACGTTCCACCTATAGCTTTTGTTCCCGCCTCTGCAAGGGCCTCCACTATAGACCTCTCCAATGTTTCAGCATCCTCATAAGGAGAGTATTTTGTCGTTAATTTATTAGCTCATCTGACATAGGCAGATGCTGCTTGCAGAATTGCATGATCGTCCATGCGTCCGTCCGGCCGTCCGTCCATGCGTCCGTCCGTCAACAGTTGGACACAAATCTTAACCGCTCGACGTACGGTCACGATATTCGGGATGTGAGGGGGGTAATCCGAAAACGAGTTGGGATGTCGAAGCTGGGCGTCAAAGGTCAAAGGTCAAGAGGTGTAAAAGAAGGGGGAACATTCCCTCCTTAACTTAAGGTATAGGGAGGAAATGCAGAATTGTGGCACAAATCTCAACGGCTCGACCTAGGCTCGTGATAGTCGGTGTATAGCATCATGGTAGGAAAAGCCATCACTATGCCGAAATTGGAGGTCACAGGTCAAAGGTCAATGGGGCACAGGGCAGATTTTAGACATTTTCTGAGGACATGGTCTGACGGAGCGATTGGAAAACCTTTTTGTTTCAGCGGTGACCTAGCATTTTTATGGCTTTATTGAAAGGACCATGAAATGTGCTTTCCGCTGACGTGCGAAGAGTAAGTGTCGGATAACCTTTTGACCTTCAAGGGGATGGTTAAACATGGATTTGTTTACTGTTAGAAAGAATTTGACTGCCGGGTTTGCTAGTAGAATCTATACATGCCTGGACGTATGAGGCTACAATGTCACAGTGAAATTTCAAAAGCTAAATTTGGTTGAAGAAGGTTTATGCTCCTTAAATCGTATAATTTCTATGACATTCTGTACTGTCAGTGTCAGTGTGTTACATGTAACATATATGCCACTGCCAGTGGCCACTGCCAGTGCATGTGGCGGTGATAGTACTGTGTAGTTTTTGCCTGCGTTAATTAGTTACAGGTGGCAGCTCTCTATTTCGGCCTGTAGGCTTGCGTAGGTAAATGGATGAGTGCTTACCTAATACCTATTCTGTCTTGCAAATAGTTGTTGCTACTATGTACGATGGGAGTTTCCATCTTCAATCTTAAGACACTCGAACGTACGCGCCATCTCGTGGCAACTTTCATAACGATCCCAACGAACATTCCTTCGGGAAGGTTCCTGATACCATCCCAGTGTTCGAAATAAGGGCTATCCGTTTGTCCGTACTTGTCCATTTCCACGGATGACAAGTAGATCTGTCCGGTAGCTTGTCCGGCGGACAAGCAGCTTTTTAGAGCAATTTTTCATAATTTTCTACCATCGCTGGCCCATGCTGGGAAACCCGAGTTAACATAGTATAAACATGGGCTGCCGGAGTGCCACCCGAATTAACATATAGTATAGACATTTATGTGAAGTTATATAAAAACGTTACCGCCTTGCTAGCTCAACGAAACGGTCATGCTAGACAATCAGACATCTGTATAGAATCAGTCGCACAGCCTCGTCTGGCAGCGCTACAGCCTCGAGAAAGAGAGAAATCTACATGCAGTGTACGCAACTGCGTATCTGCATATCTGCGCCTAACAAATGTGTCATTACGCACGACTGAAATTTTACGCTTATAACCGTAGCAACAGACCCCAGATGAGCCCAGACGCTCTGCGGCTCTTGTTTAGGTTCCTTTCACATTCCCTTTGGAAGGCTTCCCAATCGGCATCTCTGGTTTTCCATGCTTTTTAGCTCACCTTGATATCGTCAAGCTGAGCTATTGCCATGGGTTGTCGTACGTCCGTTCGTCCGTCCGTCCGTCAACATTTCGCTACGGTCAACGATAACTCAGGAACCGTTTTGCCCACATGTTTGAAATTGGGTATAGTTGTTACTGCTATGCTCCCATATTAAACGTCCTATTTTGAAGCACGCCAGTCGACGTACTTTCGAGCCACGGCATTTTTTGGGCAAAAATGGGAATTGCCATTAGTCAGTTCAGGTTCAATGGATTTTGCTCATTTTTGGTATGTGAATGAATAAGGGCTAGGGGGCAGTGAAAAAATTAATTTCTTTCTTTCCGGGGCTCTTTTTGCAAACCCCCCCAAAATTTCGGGGGCTACTTTTTCATTTTCCAGGGCTCTTTTTCCACTTTCCAGGGCGACTTTTTTCCAGGGCTGTTTCCTCAAATGTACACACACGCACAGTAGCTAATACACACTCGCGGGGCGCGCACACACCACACACACGTCACACGCACGCACGCACGCACGCACGCACGCACACACACACACAGACACACACAGACACAACAGTCAATATTCAAGACAGTTATTCATCAGACTGACAGACTAACATGATAATCACAACTCACAAGTCACAACCACAAATGCACCTTGAATAGTGAATACATCACAGGTTCAGCTAAACACAGAACTATTACGGCTAGCCAG